GACAACAGTGGAAACTGAATCTTATTGTTCACTTACTCTGTGCCCGTTACCCTTTCACGTGTTCTGCATGTATCAACCTACTTTTTTTTTTTTTTAAATGACTTTATGATGTAAGTTCCATTATTCCTGTGGAATAGATGAAGATATTGAGGTAGCATAGAGAAACTCAATACCTTGTCCAAGCTCACACAGCCAAGAAGTAGAAAAACAGATTTGAAATCTCGTTCCAAGACTCACACTCCTATCAAAACTACTGTTTTCCTACAATGACAGATATAGTGTCTTTTCCTGTAAAATTCAGTATGATCATTAAAGTGGGGATTTTCAATTTGTCCTGAACATTGTAATCACAATAAAAAAGTTTTCATGTCATTCACATCCTCCAGAAATGTAATAAGTGAGGTGCTAAGTCGCTTCAGTTGTGTCTGACTCATTGCAACCCCATGGACTGTAGCCCACCAGGCTATTCTGTCCATGGGATTCTCCAGGCAAGAATACTGGAGCGGGGTGCCAGTTCCTCCTCCAAGTAAGTGAGGTACATGAGGCAAAATGCTGGGCGTGAATGTTTTTGCAGATTCAGTTTCCAAAAAACAGAAAAGCAGAAAAAACAAACAATGGTGTTTTCGAACAATGAATGCTGTTTTCCTTTAGCCATAAGGGAGTTTTAAAGCTTGATAAATCTATTCAGCTTTCAAAGCATTCCACATTCCCCACCCACAAGCAAATGCCAGAAGGTGCCAGTTTGAGCCAATTCTGAGCTCAGGAATGATTTTCTTTATACTAGATCAGATTTCTTCAATGTCCATACTTCACAGATGCTTACCATTGTTCTAATGGGTCTGATGAAAACTGCTTAGCAACTTATCAAGCTACTAATGTAAAAAGAACATTTCAGCAAGAGATGAGGTAGTGAGACACAAATGCAGAAACAGAAAATGACGGGCCTTACTACTTTAAAGGGACTGAAAATCACTGCCTTACCATCTTTGAAATTTAGAGTTAGGCTATGTATAGGCCCAGTTTAATGGACTTTCTCTGGGGAAAAATGCCTCCAATTACATAAAGAAAGTAATTTCCTTATTTTTCAGGAACTAATTTTTTTGGAGAGGATAAAGAAAATAGTGTTTAATAAACTCATTCACTGAACTTACTTTTTTGGAAGCATGCCCTTTGCCTGACACCATGCTAGACACAGATACAAAAATGAAAAAGACATGTATCTTGTTCAGACTTTAGTAGTAGAGAAAGAAAGTAGTAGTAGAGAAAGAAAAACAAAGAAATGGTGTAACAACGAAAGAATGTACAGGAAATTAGAAGTGAGAAAGTGAGAAGTGAGGATGGAGGGAGGAACAGAAACTGTGTCTCAAGATTTGGGGCTTAAATTTGGGAGTGATGCAGAGCCATTAAACAGAAGTGAGGATCAGATTTAATTTTTAGAAGGATCATGCTGTTGTCAGTGTGAAGGTTGGGTTGCAGTGGGGAGATCAAAGGCAGGATCAGCTCCAATCTTCATAAAAAGCATTCCAGAGCATTCTGATACCTCCCTGGCTGTTCTCTGCTTCACTTCCTCTTGACCCCCAGACATGATTTATAATCTTTAAAATGCTATTTACTTTCCACGTACTTTAGGTTTTCCCAGATATCTGTTATTGACTTCTAATTTATTTCCATTTACTTTGTATGACTTGAATCCTTTTATTGTTATGGAGACTTGCTTTTTGGCCCAGAATTTGGTCATCTTAATACATGTTCCACATGCTCTTGAAAAGAATGTGTATTCTACCATGGATGGGTATCGCTGTGTTCTATGTCACGTTCATCAAATTGGTTGATAGTTTTTGTTCAAGTCTTCTATATCCTTACTGTTTAGATTTTTTTTTCTCTTAAGTCATTCATTAAGATTGAGCCTATGCATAATCTAGCTCTAAAATTTGTGTCTTCTTGTTCTAACATGGAAAGAAGTTTTCAAATCTCCAATTATAATTACAGATTTGTTAATTTCTCCTTATAGTTTTATCAGTTTTTACTTCAAGAATTTTGAAGCTGTTATGTAAACAAGTGTTTAGGATTTTTGTGTCTTCTTGCTGAATTGACCCTTTATTTGGCATTATGCAATATTCTTTATCTTTGGTAATAGTCTTCACTGGGAAACCTACTTTGTCTGATATTAATATAGCCACTCTTGCTTTCTTTTGATTAGTGTTAGTATGGTGTATCTTTTTCTACCTTTTTAATCTGTTTGCCCTTTATTTTCAACATATGCTTTTTGTTGGCAGCATATAGTTGGATCTTGTTTTTTTATCCAATCTAGACAATCTCTGCCTTTTAGTTGGGGTATTTAAAATATTTAACTTTGCAAAAGATAATTGACTGTTTAAGCAAAAATAATAACAAAGTGTGGAGCTTATACTAATGCAGAAGTAAAACATGAGGCCACAACAGCACAAAGGCAAGAAGAGACAAATGAGTTTTTCATTGTAAGCTTCTTAAACCATATGTCAAGTACTGTATCACTTGAATGTAGACAGGTATGTTAAAGATGTACATACTATAATTCTAAAGTAATCACTGAAATAAAACAGAGTTGTAACTAATAAACCAACAAAAGAGATAAAATGAAATCATAAAAAATACTCAATCCAAAAGAAAGCAGAAAAGGAAGAAAAAGAGAACAAAGAAAAAATGGAAACAGCAAGATGATATATTTAACATAAACATATCAACAATCACATTAAATGCAAAAGCTCCAAACACCCTGATTAAAAGGTAATGACTGTCAGATTGGGTAAAAGCAGGTATAAAACCACTCATCAGGTACTGAGCTAAGTACATTACACAGTCTCATGAAATCCTCCTTAACAAGCATGATGTTATCATCATGCCCTCATTTCAAATATTTTAAAAAATGAGCCTCAGGGAAGTTAATGACTTCTCCAAGTAGCAGAGCAGGGCACTGCAGAGCGCTAAAAAGCATATAATACTTGCTTCATTCCCCTCCCTCCATTTCCACGGCACTGAGTACCTGTTTCCACAGGTACTCAGAAGTTGCCACATGACAACTTCTATAACTGCTTGAGATGAAATCCAGTTTAACCATCTGAGTGACCATGGTCTGTGTACTGCATACACTTACTTAAATCTCTAGTTTCCTCATCTGTAAAATGGAACTAAGAATATCTGCCTCATAGTGTTTTTGTGATGATTCAGAAAGTCCAGTGGGTAGTGTGTGTTAAATGGGGGTGGTTAACTGTTTTTGTTACTTTTACCTGTACCCTGAAGATCTCCCAAGACATATCAATTTGTACAATTCCAGGTCAATACTGAACAGTGTTAAGAGAAATGTGATGTTCACTATCTTCTTCTTTGACTTGCAGCATTACAGAAACAGACCATAGTGGTAACTGTCTCATTTCTAATTTTCAGCATTATATGAAGTTCAGGTTTCCTCTTTGAGAATTCAGCAATGCAATGAATCAGTCTTCTTCTAGAGAAACCTTTCAACTCAACTGTTATATTTATGAATTAATTTTTTCCCTTGGAGTAAAAATGTCACTCTTATTTGTTTTCTAGATTGAAGGGTTTAGATTTCTTACACTTTCATATTGTATACCTATACTGGCGACCTGGAAGGAATAACTTCAGCTTAGGTTGTATTATTATAATAGTAACTAAGAAAAAAGAATTCGCCCAAGCATTATCTTATATCTGCTATTTTAATATATAAATTAAAAAATCAGAATACAATCTTGGGAGTTAATAGACAAAACCAAATAAACAAACGAACAAAAAAACACACCACATATGATTCCAGCATCATATAGAACCTTTAAATATATTTTCTTTCAAAAGAGAAAGATTTTATCAGTATTTTATCAGTAAAATAAAAGTTGTTTAGATACACCATGATTGTCAGCTAAGAAGGAAGCCAATCAGACGTTCAATATAGCACTGCTTTTCTGAGCAAATGACTGAAAGAGACAAAATTTCAGATATTTTATTCAAAATTCTCCATCTAGGAGGAAAGACATATAACAATGTGCACACATGCTTCAATAACTTATTTCACTGTACAACTTGCATCCCAAACAACAGTACAATAAATGAGCAAAAGAAAATAATTAGCACTTAAATATTCTAGCAAGTAAACAGCACTGAATACGGGGTTCAACAAGGTGGTATCTGTACACTGTTTCATGACTGAGCCATAGCATCCCTCATCAGGTTCAGTGTGTGTCTAAAAATTCTACACCTTTCCTACTAGTGATGTGAAAGGTTGGTAGGACCTATGTTGGTTCTGGTGAAATTCGGTGGGCAAGGGTGGAGGGGCTCTATCACTTTTCTCCCTTTCTTATACATATCTTTCCCTTTTATGTTACTTCCACAGTTTTAAATAAAAATATCTTTTATGCTTGTGTATATTGTTTTGTCAATACTGTTTTAGCACAGAATTAGGTTAATTGGGTATTTTATAGCTAGCACAATGGTCCAAACACAGGAAGGAAACAAAAGAAATTGACCACTTGGTTCTGCCAAAGTAGCACCTAGTGAAACAGCAGGTCAGTAAAGTTTCTCCTGCTAGTCCTTGTATGATGAAGGCAAAGAGACATGGCAACAACTCCAAAAACATGGGCAGAAATTTAAGGAAGACGATATTGTTCTCGTTCTTGAAAAGAAGTCTTACTGGTGAGTATTTTTCTATTCCATTTAATAATCTGAGTTATAATGATTACTATATCAGAGCAAGACTATACAAGAGGAAAACAAGATAAAAATGAGTGACTAGGGAAATCTGAACTTCTTCCAAGTGATTACATTTTCCAAGGGGAAAAAAAAGGCACAGGAGGTACACATTTCAGTTTGGTTCAAAAATAATGCAAAGTAACTGGAAAAGTTGGCAATAACTATGGAAACATTAAAATCCAATTCTCTGTATTTTCTGTGACAGAGCTCAACAAACAAACAGAAAAAAAACACCCTGACTGTGGTTCACCATCATCGGGACTATACACAGTGCCTGACGTTTCTACCCAGACTGAATGCCGAGGAGTACGTCTGCAAAGCAGGATCTTAAAATTGATTTCAATAACATGTATGCTTGAGCAATCTTTTCTTTCTAAAACTTAATCTATGTTCAAGCTACCTTCCTTCTGTGGAGCTGAAAGAATCTAAATACTCTGGTTTGTAGCTGACTGTAAAGGTACTACAGTAATCCCACATACCAAGGAACATCAAGAGATGGAAAGTCAACTAGTCTTATGCCTGTGAAAGCTAACTCAGATATCACTCTGATGCTTGTAAACCATGAATTGTTAAGTTTCAAAAAACAGCAGTTGTGGTCAAGTTTATATTCGACATCTTTAAAAGACAGCAATACTATTTACTATAATTGTAAACATAATAAGTCTGTCTCCTAAGACAGCACATCCAGGAAAAGGTGCATTTATTTTAACTGTACCCCTGACATCCCTTATAAACTTTTTTGACAACTGTAGTGTAACTAACTGCCGTTGCTAAGTAGGGCTCTAGAGCATGACCCGAGGGAGTCACCTTTCCCAACATCACCGACCTACTTTAGCAGCAATTATGATTGTGACGAAACATTCTTAACAGCTTACACATTTAAAACGTCATTAGAACATCTCGCTCTTGGACACTGGTATAGAAAGGTCTTCCAAAGATAAAGGAGTGGAGGCCTGGCTTAATTTTCTCAGCCAGAGCCATTATTATGTTAAGATCGCCCTCTGCTGTTAAATCAAGGTCTATCTTCAGGTTCCGAAGCGATTTAAAGGGCTTTTTCCCCTTCTGCCTACAAATAATGATATGAGAGAAATTATAAGATAGAAAAGGTCCAAAGGGGACAAAATGAAAGCAATTAATGAAGGTTCTTCTTCCATGGAGGAGACTGACTTACGTATCATCTTCTATATATTTTATTAGCGTCAAGGCTTTTCTGTGAAGGACGAGCAGAAATTGCGCAAGGAAAGTACTCCTGAGAGACAGACCAGGTTTCAAATGAAAGACCTGCAGGAAAATGAAGCATGCTCATAAATATTTTGCTCCCGTTCTGCTTATCCACAGCATGTTTCTGCTGGTAGTGCCTGGCAGGTAACCCACGTTTGAGCAGCTCTCCCCAATCGTCTCCATAGATGGATACATCCTGGTGGACAGGAGGAGATGGACATACTGGAGCGGTCTGACAGTTCTGCTTCCTCTTCAAGAGTGGACTCAAAATTGTTCTTCTACCTTAGACTACAACCATATTTATTAAAAATCATGATATAGGTTACTTCTGGTTGTGTTACTTTAGCTTTTCTCTGCCCACATCTTCAAATAAAACTGGAGCTCCTAGAGGTTGGGCTGTGCTTACACTATGGTTTTGAGATACTCATATTTTTCTATTTTGAGGGGTGGGGGTGCATGGGTAGTGGTAGAACAATTTTAATTCTGCTTGGGAAGCATGGAATTACATGACTTTGAATTATCCCTGAACTTTGCAATATGTCACAGATCACACAGATCTGGATCCAAAATTTCTAGTTAACAAGGATTATATTATTTCAAAGCTACATCTATGACAACTGTTTCCTGGCCTGATCCCTAGAGTGATATCATAACAAAGTCCCTCTATTTTAAGACATAAGACCCATATAATCTCAAATTTTCTTTAAAACCTAGATCTTTTACAAAGAAATGAGACAGTAAGGATGCTATCATTTAAGTAAGTCTTAAAAACATTTTTTGCTTAATTAAGGCAAATACACAACATTTGTACAAAATGTCCCTTCACTAAAAGAAAACATCCTTGGGTTATAAATTAATGCTTAGAAGTTATTATCTAAACTGGGGGATGCTGCATCTTCAATTGTTAACATACAAACTACTTTCCACAAATAATTCAGCAGAAAAATAATTTTGACACTTTAGAAAAATCAAGAGATAAAACTACAAAAGGAGCTAATTCTATAGGCATCATGGGATATATTGAACAGAACACATGTCATATCATTCACTCTGACAATCTCAGGTTTAGCACTTACCTGATCCAGGAAGGCTTTCACAAGAGTGTCTCTATGTAAGACATCTTGAAAAATATTCCTACGAAGAAAACAGACGAAATGTTGACATGGCTATGCAAAGCTGTTTTCCAAAACCTCTCACACCAACCAAACTAAATTATTCAAAATGGGATTATAAACATATTTATAAGAATTACATAAATAAATACAATAAAATACAACAAATAGATTTGGCAATACAATAAAATAGATTAATACACTCATTTTAACTCAAGGATACATTTATCTATCTATTACTGGAGTCTGTCAGGCCACAATGTAATTATTTTCTTTTTAATAGTGTAAGCAGTCCCAGGAAGGGTATGTACATATCTATCAATGTATTTTAATACCTCACCTTATAAAAAAATATTGAGAGCCTTAGGCAATTGGTAAATGCAACTATCAATTCCTGCCATCTCGAAAACATAAAACAGCAACAAAAATAAATATACACCAATACCATTACAAACCAAAACAAAATAAAAGGTTAACTTCATGTACTAATAACTCCTAATAAGCAGTTTCGGAAGAAAAAAAGTAAGAGGATGAATGTTAGGAAACATTCAAGTGGGAATAAAGAACACACACAGATGATTATCTCCAACGTCTTGCCCACTGGGTTTGCATCCACCAGTCCATCATCTGGTGAGGAACATGAATCAGCTACCTAATAAAATGTTAGCTACGTCGGCAATGAGCAGAGTCAGAAATTAAGTTCTAATTCACACCTGAGATAATGTTCATCTACCATACAACTTAGGATATTGTAGGCACTTTAAAAAAGACTATCTATTTCCCAGGTCCCAACCCCCTTTGATCTTTCTCTTCTTCCTTCCCTTTTCCTGCCTTCTACTTCACTAAGGAATTTACTGGGATACTAGGCTATACTCAAGTCAGAGGGGTAAAATAACATTTACTAAGGTAAGCAATTTTTAACTGAAAAGAAACAAAATAGTAGGGATCATCATATACCTGATCGAAGTAGCAAGAAAGAGATGTGTGTGCAGATGTAAATAGCAAAGTACCTAAAACTTCCTAGTTTAAGGGAATTGGGTGTTCCCTACTACAGAAGCAGGAAACTCAGAAAAGGGGAAAGAAAAATCAGCATTTCACAATTACTGGCTGTTCAACTGGTGACCAGTATGGATACTGACAGTACCCATTTTCTGGCTTTGGAGAGAGAATTTAGCTATTTAAGTCTAGTGTTCTGAACACTTTATAATTTGATTGTCTTGGTCAAAAGGGAATTAGATGAAGCAAAGTGTCATAAAAAGAGTATATTCAGTGACTGATTTTTCATGTTTAGGCAGTGAGTGAAATTATTTTTAAGAGTTAAAATTTAAAATATCTTAAAACTAAGTAATATTGCTTAAAATAAACTAAAAAGTAAAGTATGTCCATAAAACATAAAAGTTAATAATACATCGATCTAGAGTTTGAAAATATTATTTTTGGATAATTTTATGTTTAGAAAATTAACAGCTGGAAACAAATGTTCAAAGTTCATGACATTATTTGTTATGATTAGCAAAACAAGAATAGGTGGCTCATCATAGTTTGTCAAATCAGTGAAGCCAACACAACTGGCTAAAATGAGTAAGACATATTAAAAGCATACATGTATCTCCTCTAAAAAAAAAATTCCAGAACTTTAGATAAAGTTCACCAAATTCCCCAGAAAGAGCTCTCCAGCAACCTACCAAAAAAACAGAAAAAATGGACAGTCTGGAAGAGCTGGTTCCTGAGGAAGCCATCTTTCTGAACCTAGAGACACATGAGACGGGATTCCCAGGACACGGTGTTCCTTTGCTATGCTTGCGGGCAGCACCTGCTCTCTGACGACTGGCGCTTCCCGAGTCTGTTGCCTCAGCTCAAAATTCTTCTGTAAGACACAGGATAGGGTTGCTTGCTCCAATTTTACTGCTGCCCTATCCACTCGAACCTGGATTATTTACTAGTCAGTGTTTACCGAGCACATTCTATGTGCCGGGTATAGAGAACCATGATCGTATACAACAATTTATTTTCCTGATTTCAGTGTTTTTTTCAGTTATTTAAGTGTTTTACAGTTCAGATTTCTTCTTTTTTTTCCCTTAATTGGGTCCACATTCAACATTTTATTATCATTGCTTTCTCTGTTAATTTACTGATCATACCTTATGGTAAGAAATGAATAACACAATATAAGAGAATATAAAAGAATGCTCTATTAATGCATTTTCACAGTTTTGCTGTATTTTATATTTATATATATCAAGGAAAAAAAAGACTTAGCAATACCTCCTTGGTTTAGTTAATAAATAAGCTTCTTAATGACCTTTATACACTAGTCTGTAAGCAATGGAAGGACCTGGGTCTGGGGCTGTCTGGGTGGCCGCCATTAACGGGAACATCACTGATTCAGTGGACATGGACTTGGGTGAGCTCCAGGAGACGGTGAGGGACGGGAGGCCTGGCGTGCTGCAGTCCGTGGGGTGGCAAAGAGTCGGACACGACTCGGCGACTGAACATCGACAAACCTTAGCACCCTGTAACTAGGGGCTCAGTGGATATCTGTTATTAAGTACTTAAGTACTTATTTTTAAGGACTAATCTAACTTAGCTTATGGCAAACACAATCATACTAAGAAAAATAGACACTGAAGAAAAAAAACGATTGATTCACCAAAGATTTCTTCGAGCATAGTAAATATATGCCTCCCCTTTTAAACACTGGATTGCGTGCTTCTACTCGTAAAAGACGGTTAGGCGATACTGCTTAAAGACAGCATCGGAAAGCAGGGCGTTACGCACAAGTCAGGGGTGAAGCTTTCATCTGTGTAGATGAAGGTGTCCTGAGCCACGTCCTCTTCTGAAGTGGCTCGCCAGAACGCTGCCAGCTCTGAGCGCATGTATCTACGCTGGTTGTAAATGTGTTCGTGACAGGGCGGCATCTGCTTGACGGCGTTGACGTCCACATCGATGTGTGTGCTGGGGTAAGGCGCGTACATGACTTGCCGGAAGGGAAGCACAAAGCTTCCGGTCGAATCCTGTCAGGATGAAGAGAAAACTGTCTTTTACACCAAAAGATAGGAAGATTATCTTTAATTTAAAAAACTGGCTTTCACTTAGCAAGTTCAGCTCTAGAAATTTATCCCAGAAGATGAATCATGGTTGTGTGTCAAGTTTGAGTGACGTGTGTGCTATAGCACTGGATTAAAATAAAACATCAGAAGCAACTTGCGCATCCACAAAGGGAAATAAATATTTATTCATTTAAATAAATGAAAGTGATTTATTGTTTAGCTGCTAAAAATTAAGTTGCCAATGTTTATGTGTTGATACTGAAAGATGTTCATAATATATTGTGAAAAAAGGAGCTTAAAACATGAAGAGTATAATCTAATTTTCTGGCAGGGAAAGGGGAAGATATGAAAAAAATACAGAAGAAGAAAAAGACCAGAAAGATATATNTTCAGTTCAAACTTGTTTTGGTTGGTGATGGTGGTACTGGAAAAACTACATTCGTGAAGCGTCATCTGACTGGTGAATTTGAGAAGAAGTATGTAGCTACCTTGGGTGTGGAGGTCCATCCTCTTGTGTTCCATACTAACAGAGGACCTATTAAGCTCAGTGTATGGGATACAGCTGGTCAGGAGAAATTTGGTGGACTGAGAGATGACTATTATATACAAGCTCAGCGTGCCATTATGTTTGACGTAACATCAAGAGTTACTTATAAGAATGTGCCTAACTGGCATAGAGATCTGGTACAAGTGTGTGAGAATATCCCAATTGTGTTATGTGGCAACACAGTGGATATTAAGGACAGAAAGGTTAAGGCAAAGTCAATTGTCTTCCACTGAAAGAAGAATCTTCAGTACTATGACATTTATGCCAAAAGTAACTACAACTTTGAAAAGCCCTTCTTCTGGCTTGCTAGAAAATTGACTGGAGACCCTAACTTGGAGTTTGTCGCCATGCCTGCTCTTGCCCCGCCAGAGGTGGTCATGGACCCAGCCTTGGCAGCATAGTACGAGCACGATTTAGAGGTTGCACAGACAACTGCTCTCCTGGATGAAGATGATGACCTGTGAGAAAGTGAAGCTGGGGCCCAGTATCAGAAGTCTAGTTTCATAGGCAACTGTCCTGTGATGTCAGTGGTGCAGCGTGTTTGCCACTTTATTATATAGCTAAGCAGAACATGTGCTTAATCTTTGGATGCTGAAGGAGATGGATGGGCTTTGGAGTGAACGTGGCACTTAAAAAAAAAAATACCTTCACTTTTTGGACCTGCATATTTAGGTATTTTG